TTGTTCTATTGAGCTTTGTAAATACAGAGCGGGGCAAAAATAGGTTTACAGTTGTGAGTACACGAATTTATTCTTGTTATTATTTATTAATTATTGTATTATTTTTCATAGGAAAAATTCTAAACCTACTTTTGCCTCACTCTATATTGTGTTTTTCACAAATTGAAGGTCTGTGGTAACCCTGCATGAAGCAAGTCTATCAGTGCCATTTTCCAACATTATTTGCTCACTTCAGGAGTCTGTCACATTTTCTAATTGTTGCAATATTTCAGACTCCTACTCTCATATTTTTTATAGTGATCTGTTACTAATGATCTCTGTTACTATTGTAATATACTTTGGGGCTTCACGAACCATGCCCATGTGAAAACAAAATTAATTGATAAGTGTGTATTTTCTGACTGCTCCACTGACAGGCCATTCCTCTCTCCCTCTCCAAGGCCTTGCTATTTCCTAAGACACAACAATATTGAAATTAGGCCAGTTCATAACCCCACAATAGCCTCTACGTGTTCAAGTGAGAGAAAAAGTTGCATGTGTTCCACTTTAAATCCAAAGTCAGAAATAATTAAGCTTAATGAAGAAGGCATGTCGAAAGCTGAGATAGGCTGGAAGCTAGGCCTCTTGCACCAAACAGTTAGCCAAGCTGTGAATACAAAGGAAACCTCTTGAGGAAAGTTAAAAATACTATTCCAGTGAACACACAAGTGATAAGAAAGCAAAACAGCCTTATGCTAATCTGCAGAAAGGTTTAGTGGTCTGTATAGAAGATCAAACCAGCCACAACATTTCCTTAAGCCAAAACCTAATCCAGAGCAAGGCTCTAACTCGCATCAGTTCTAGGAAACCTGAGAGAGGTGTGGAAGATGCAGAAGAAAAATTTGAAGCTAGCAGAGGTTGATTTATGAGTTTTAAGGAAATAGGCTATCTCCATAAGATAAAAGTGCACAGTAAAGCAGCAAGTGCTGGTGTAGAAGCTGCAGCAAGTTATCTAGGAGGTCTAGCTAAGACAGGCTGACTTCTTACTAGGGGCTAATGCAGCTGGTGACTTCAAGTTGAAGCCAATACTCAGTCACCATTCTGAAAATCCTGGGGCCCTTAAGAATTATGCTAAATCTACTCTGCCTGTGTTCTGTAAGTGGAATAACAAAGCCTGGATGACATCTATCTAAAACATGGCTTACTGAATACTTTAAGACCACTGTTGAGACTTACTGCTCAGAAAGACCTACTGCTCAGAAAAAGATTCCTTTTAAAATATTACTACTCACTAACAATGCACACGGTCACTCAATAGTTCTGATAGAGATGTACAAGATTAATGTTGTTTTCATGCCTCCTAACATAACATCCCTTCTGCAGCCCATGGATCAAAGAGTAATTTTGACTCTCAAGTCTTATTTAATAAATGCATTTTACATAGTTATATCTGCCATAAGTAGTTATTTCTCTGATGGATCTGGGCAAAGTAAATTGAAGACCTTCTGGAAAGGACTCACAGGTCTAGATGCCATTAAGAACATTTTTAATTTATGGGAAGAGGTCAAAATATGAACATTAACAGGAATTTGGGAGAAGTTGATTCCAACACTCCTGGGTGACGTTGAGGGGTTCAAAACTTCAGTGGAAGGAGTAACTGCCCATGTAGAAATAACAAGAGAACTAAAATTAGTAGTGGAGCCTGAAGATTTGACTGAATTGCAACAATCTCATGACAACACTTTAATGAATGAGGAACTGATTTTTATGGATGAGCAAAGAGAGTTGTTTTTTGAGATGGAATCTATTGCTGGTAGAGATGCTGTGAAGGTTGTAGAAATGACAACCAAAGATTTAGAGTAGTACATAAATGTAGTCGATGAAGCGGCAGCAGGGTTTGAGAGGATTGACTCCTATTCTACTGTGGGCAAAATGCTATCAAACAGCATCTCATGCTACAAAGACAGTGCTTGTGAAAGGAAGAGTCGGTCCATGCTGCAAACCTCATTGTTGTCTCATTTTGAGAAATTGCTACAGCCACACCCACTTTCAGCAACAGCCACCCTGATCATTCAGCAGTCATCAACATTGAGACAAGAACCTCCCACCAGCAAAGATTATAACTCCCTGAAGGCTTGGATGATGGTTAGCAATTTTTAGCAATAAAGTACTTTAAGATATGTACATTTTTTTAGACATAATACTATTGTATACTTAATAGACTACAGTATAATGTAAACATAACTTTTACATACACTAGGAAACCAAAAAATTTGTGTGACTCACTTTATTGTGATATTTGTTTTAATGTGGTTGTCTGGAGTTGAACCCATAATATCTCCAAGGCATGCCTGTAGATTAGATATAGATAGGTATCCCCTTGCTCAAAAACTTGAAAAAAATCTCCATGTTTTGAAGCAGAGAGGAAAATAATTCACTGTGGTGAATAGCAAAGCTACTTTCAGCTTCAATCTGTGAATATGGCATTTTATATTAATAGCTTTTTAGAAGTTGAACTATTTTTATAATCTTAGGATATACTATTTAATCTGTGTTTTGTAAGATACGATTATCTCTTTTGGCTTTGTTATCAAAATTATACTAACCTCAGAAAATGAGTTAGTTAGCTTTCTCTTTCTTTCCATTCTATAACTAGCTTGTGGGATATTGGGATATCACTTGTTCCTTGTATGTTTGGTAACAGTTGCCTGTGAACTTTTATTGATCTTTTATTATTTATATGTTGCAGAGGGTAATAGTTATGTTGGTAGAAATGCTGTGTGGAAGAAAAAAAAAGAATGCACTCACTATTTACCAAGACAGTGAAGTTAAATTTCAATTTTCTAATATAACAAATGCCTATGTATTTTGACATCATAGCTATGAATACAATGCAGTTACATATTTCATTTGAAAATAAAACTTAAGGAGAACTGTTAATATTACTTGGCACCTCCAGAAATCATAAAAACAAATGCTGTGTGGAAACCAACAGGTTCCATAAATATCAACTTTGGTAGATTGTCAAAACATAATACTGAATGGAAAAAAAGCAATATACCAAAAGGATATGTACAGTTGATATCATTTCTCTAAATTTTAAAAATACACAAAAATGTCTATATTTTGTACATACACACATATATACATATGTATGTAAAAGTATTTTAATGAAATGGAAGGGATACAAACAAGACAAATAATAATGACTATCTCAAGAAAGAGGAACACATGACTAGAACTAGAAATCATTGTGAAAGCAGATCCAAACTTTTATTATGTATATTTATATATAAACTTTGTATATTCTCTTTAAAATAGTTTTAAGCAATACTAAAATATCAGCGGTAATCCTTTCTAGATGTGGGGGCATAGGAATACTGGTAATTATGGTATTCATTATAATTTCTGTGTTTTTAAATTTTTTAAATTTCTGACTTGATAAAAGATGGCTTTCAGAATCTATTGAAATGATCTTAAGATGAATTATACTAACAAAAGTTTTAATAATTATTTAATTGTTAAATATGTTATATCGGGGTTTTTAATCAGGATGTTAGCATGTGTTATTTATATTTTTGTGGTATCTTTCTCAGACTATATGATGAACACCTTGTTTTGTTATTACTCTGCTCTTTAAAAATGTCCAGTGTTTCTTTGCTCCCTGCAGAATAAAGCCAGGTCTTTGAGATTAACATTAACATCTTTCTAAATTTGACCCCTATCTTTATTGACCAGATGTATCTGAAGCTCTCAAGCATACAGCATTCATTATTTGTTTTTAAATATATTTTTATTTATTTCAGAGAGAGAGATAGAAACATCAATGATGAGAGAGAGAGTCGTCGATTGGCTGCCTCCTGCATGTCCCCTACTGGGGATTGAGCCCACAACCCAGGCATGTGCCCTTGATCAGAATTGAACCCAGGACGCTTCATTCCACAGGCCAACTCTATATCCACTGAGCCAGACTGGCGTGGGCTATAGCCTCTTTTTTTTTTTTTTTTACCATAATTGATTTTACTTTCCCTAGTCATTCTTTTTTATTCCTTTGCACACTTTTTAAAATGCCAATAATGTAATTCTCTTAGCAATCTTCTGGTAGCAATCTGTTATTATCCTTTCAAGTGTGTTTTCTATGTCATCTCCTCTACAATAATATGTATTCTATGGTGTGTGTATGTGTAAAATTTACATGTAAGATTAGGTATTCCTGGAGGAAGTAAGGTATAGAAATTAGTAAACAATCTATCAACATGTCTAGATGATCAAAAAATAATGTATATAAAAGGCTACTTAATCTCTATGTAAAGTAATATGGTAAACGAGGAGATAAGCCACATAGATGCTCCTTCAAGGGAGGATCTGTTGCTCTAGCTGCTAGGAGTGCTGTTAGGGCACTGTCAGCCCCTTTAGGGATTGCCTCACCTGTATGGAACTCACGAGGACAAGCTCTTTCAGGAACCACCCACATCCAATGGCTGATCAAGTTGGATGCAGAAAGAAGTGGCTATTTCAACCCAAAGCAGGACAACTATGATGGGTCCTTTCAGCTTTCGAGCCCTTCTTAGGATTATTGGAAGCTGTTAGACTTGCATCATAGCTGACTTCTCCATCTTTCCAACCTTGCCTCTCCCTTGCCTTCCATAGATAATGAATCCAAGGCACTCCCAATAAACATTCTGAACACTAACTCCACCTCAGAGTCTGTTTGCAATGAATCCAAACTGCAGTAAGTAGTTTGTTTGCATTTCTGATATAGCCCTTCTCTCTTTTTGTTCTGTATATATATATATATATATATATATATATATATATATATATATATATATATATCCCTTATTCCACTCTGACTAGCTCTGAGGATAAGGGCCATTTTGTATTCTTGGCATCTAACACAGCAACAGCATTCTAAGCTTCAGTAGGAGATATACACACACATGCATTAACTGAGCAAGTTTATCAAATATAAAAATTCTTTTATTTAGGATTTTAAAGATTTTATTTTAAATGTTTTACAGCTTTCCGATGAAATGGAAACAGCGAAGAATATAGAGGTATTTAAAATTTCTGTTTTTTTTATATTATGTATCAAGGAATTATGTGGAGGTAAAAGAATGTTTGTAATAACAGATTTGGCTATAGAGATAGGGATAGTAGGAGAGAGTTGGGAACAGATATAGAAGCTTTCTTTTAAAAAAAATTTGAAAATGTATTTTTATTGACTTCAGAGAGGAAGGGAGAGGGAGAGAGAGATAGAAACATCAGTGATGAGGGAGAATCATTGATCGGCTGCCTCCTGTGCACCCCATACTGGGGATTGAGCCTCAGTATGCACCTTAACTGGAAATTGAAGGAAATCGAACTGTAACCTCCTGGTTCATAGGTCTGTGATCAACCACTGAGCCACGCCGGCCAGGCAGAAGCTTTCTTTTCCTGCTTAGTCCATTTTCTTATGTAGTTAAAATTCTTGATCATTTGATCAATTCTTAATCAATTTAGTTATGCAATATTATTTCCTTTTGCTTTTGGATTTGGCATGTGAATATATCAGAGTCTTAATTTCAGAGAAACAGATAGTATGAAGATTTTGCTTAGGTGGAATAAATATTCTTCAATTTTCATAAAAAGAAGTAAAATAATTGACAATTAAGTATTTTTCTCCTACTAAGACTACCAATTGAAAAGAGTGAAGTAATTACTGTTGTGTGATATTTCCTCTTTCTAGGGTTGCATCTTTGAAGGATTCAAAACAAATGAGCTTTCTCAACTACCCAGACACTTGGATGCTGAACGAATTTATCTCTTTGTTTTAAAAGCCCATAACTTTGATGTATGTAAATATTATTTTATTTTTGTATGATAAGTTTGGAGATTATGATTTAATGAATCAGAGCTTTATTTAAACATCTGACAAATTAGATGTTTAAGCAAGGTTTAATCCTTTGAGTATTAAGTCTGGCAGGAAAGACTAGTGATGATTTACATCCTGATCACCTGAAGAGAATGTATTAGACTCTGTGTTCCTGCCTCAGGGGCCTGAGGTTGCTAGTGTGCATTGGCTTAGCATGTGCTGGAGAGGTTGTGGAGAAAGGAGAACCCTCATTCACTGCTGGTGGGACTGTAGACTGATTCAGCCACTATGGAAGACAGTAAGGTAGTTCCTCAAAAAATTGACTCGAGTTACCATATGACCCAGCAATCCCTCTTCTGGGAATCTACCCAAAAATCTTGAAAACATTATAGATGCACCCCTATGTTCATTGTAGCACTGTTCACAGTGGCCAAGACATAGAAACAACCAGTGCCCTTCAATAGACAATTGGATAAAGAAGATGTGGTACATAGATACTATGGAATACTACTTAGCCATAAGAAAAGATGAAATACTGCCAAATGCAATAATATGGAAGGACCTTGAGGATATTATGCCAAGTGAAATAAGTCAGGCAGAAAAAGCTAAAGCACCAAATGATTTCACTCATATGTGGGATATAAAACTGAAACTCATAGACACAGACAACACAATGGTGGTTACCAGAGGGAAGGGAGTTTGGAGGATTGTAAGGGGTAAAGGCAGCCAAATATATGATGGTGGAAGATTATTTTACTTTGGGTGATGGGCACACAATGCAATATACAGATCATGTATCATGGAAATCTACACTTGAAACCTTTATAAGCTTATTAACCAATGTTAACCCAATAAATTTAATTAAAAAGAAAACAAAAAAAAAGAAATGCGTATAATAACTTACAAAGATTGAACTTATGGATTTGAAACTCAGAAACAGAAGGTTAAAGAGCTACTGTTTTATGCCCTTTATTTCAGTGGGAATTCACTGAAATAACCGAATTCCCCTTACCTCATCTAAACACATTCCTGTACATACAGGCACAGATTACATTTCTTGATGAACAAAAGTATATATTAGCCCCTGTATCACACTGAACAGAACCTTGGCTAGAGACGATGCTCAGTAAAAATTTTATTGAGCTTTCGGCTTTCGGCTGGGAGGAGGCTCAGGTGCAACTTTCTTCGGTCGTCCCGAATCTGGGTTCATCCGACACCAGCTGCCTCCGCCATGCCGCCCAAGTTCGACCCCAAGGAAATCAAAGTCGTCTACCTGCGGTGCACCGGCGGGGAAGTGGGCGCCACGTCTGCCCTGGGCCTGTCTCCAAAAAATGTTGGTGATGACATCGCCAAAGCAACCGGTGATTGGAAGGGTCTGAGGATTACAGTGAAACTGACCATTCAGAACAGACAGGCCAGATCGAAGTAGTGCCTTCTGCCTCTGCCCTGATCGTCAAAGCCCTCAAAGAACCGCCAAGAGATGGAAAGAAACAAAACAAAAAAACACATTAAGCACAGTGGAAATATCACTTTTGATGAGATTGTCAGCATTGCCCGACAGATGCGTCACCGATCTTTAGCTAGAGAACTCTCTGGAACCATTAAAGAGATCCTGGGGACTGCCCAGTCTGTGGGGTGCAATATTGATGGTCGCCACCCTCATGACATAGACGATATCAACAGTGGTGCAGTGGAATGTCTGGCTAGTTAAGAACTACAAAGGAAAATGTTTCAATTAAAGATCATTTGACAAGCAAAAAAAAAAAATATTTTATTGAATTGAATTGTGAATAAAGGGCCTATACTGGTAATATAGTTAAAAGGAGAAAGCTGAGCCACAAGCATACTTACATACACAAATAGAAATTCAAGAGAACATAGAAGTAATTTTTTCCAACCTGAGTCAATTTAGGAGAAAAAGTTCCAAGTCAGATAATCTGTAGGTTTTAAAATTATTTACTGGTACTGGAATCAAAGAAGTATCACAAATGTAGAAGGGGGGTGGTGTTGAGAAGGTGAGAACCATTTAGCTTTTCAAGCTGGGTTTGGGTTTGTTTTCTTTTTCCAATTTTCAATTTTGAGTTGTTTTTGACTATTGATATATTTTAAAGAATTTGGAATTTTCCTGGAAAAAAAAGGAAGTTAGCGATAATGAACATAACCAAAATTAAGGCTAAGATCAATCATACAATTAATTTACAGTAAAAAGCATCTTTGCTTGAACTATGCAAATAATTTAAGCAAAAATATTTATCTTTCCCCGTATTTCAATTTTCTACTTTTCTTTATGTACTTTACATATGTTCTTTGTAATTAAGAACCAAATCTAAGATGATGCTGTTACCAATGTAAGTGAAAGAGAAGTGCCCCCACAGAATTCGTGATAAATAATAATCTCCGCATAAAAGTTTGCACGATGTGTTTTTGTTGTTGTTGTTGTTGTTATAGACTTGAGGAACAAGAATTTATATCAATGTATTTCATTAAAAGAAATCTTAAACTCTACTGAATCTGGCATTTAAAAACTTTTAGTTGAATAAGATAAAATGATCTATTGAATGTACATCTTTAAACCAAGATTTATAATCTGTAATAGTCATGGTAAATAGACTTAACTTTATGTGACAATTTAGATCCATTGCTTAAAGAAAGCTCTATGTTTAGGTAAGGTGTAGAGTTATAATGGGGTTGATTGGGATAGAAGTCCATGATTGGTGACATCTGTCTTCATTGTAAAAGAGCTTGTAGCATATCTTGAATTTTCGCTATTCTTGATCTATCTTACACTATAATTTCCATATGTCCTAGCCACGTGGTTGCCAAACTGCGGCTTGTGAGCCACATGCGGCTCTTTGGCCCCTTGAGTGAGCTCTTCCACAAAATACCATGCTTGCGCACACGTACAGTGTGATTGAAACTTCGTGGCCCATGAGCAGAAGTTGGTTTTCGGCCTGGGCGAGTCTGTTTTGAAGAAGTACTGTTGATATTTGGCTCTGTTGACTAATGAGTTTGCCGACCACTGTCCTAGCCAAATGTGATTGTTGAAATGTTGCTAATATTACAGATGAATTTTTAAATTATATTTTAATTAATTTATATATAAATTCAAAAACTAATATTTGATTCAGTTATCAAAAAACTTTTGATTATGTTTGAAACAAAATTATAACCATGTATTTTATGAAGTCTAAATATTGATGTAGTATGTATGATGAAAATTTGGTGTTCAAATTGAGATGTGCTATAAGTATAAATTATACAGTATATTTCAAAGGCCTAGTACCAAAAAAAATTGTAAAATATTTAATTAATATATTTTATTTTTTAATTTCTTCATTGATTAAGTTATTACATATGTGTCCTTATCCCCACATTATTTCCCATCCCCCCCACTCATGCACTCAACCCCCTGTTGTCTGTGTCCATTGGATAGGCCTATATGCTTGCATATAAGTCCTTTGGTTGATCTCTCCACTTACCCCCACCTTCCCCTACCTACCCTCTGAGGTTTGATGGTTTGATCGATGCTTTCTCTGTCTCTGGATCTGTTTTTGTCTATCAGCTTATGTTGTTCATTATATTCTATAAATGAGTGAGATCATGTGATATTTATCTTTCTCTGACTGGCTTATTTTACTTAGCATAATGCTCTCCAATTCCATCCATGCTGTTGCAAGTGGTAAGAACTCCTTTATTTACTGCAGCATAGTATTCCATTGTGTAGATGTACCACTGTTTTTTAATCCACTCTTCTACTGATAGGCACTTCGTCTGTTCCCAAATCTTAGCTATGGTGATTTGTGCTGCTATGAACATAGGGGTGCATATATCCTTTCTAATGTAGTCCCATTTGTTTATTTTCTCTTTAGTTTCCATTGCCCTAGGAGCAGTATCAGTGAAGAAATTGCTTCGGCATATATCTGAGATTTTGCTGCCTGTGGATTCTAGTATTTTTATGGTTTCCCATCTTATGTTTAAGTCCTTTATCCATTTTGGTTTATTTTTGTATATGGTGTAAGTTGGTGGTCTAGTTTCATTTTTTTTGCATGTATCTGTCCAATTTTCCCAACACCATCTATTGAAGAGGCTGTCTTGACTCCATTGTATGTTCATGCCTCCTTTGCCAAATATTAATTGAGCATAGTGGTTTGGGTCGATTTCTGGGTTCTCTATTCTGTTCCATTGATCTATATGTCTATTCTTGTGCCAGTACCAGGCTGTTTTGAGAGCAGTGGCTTTGTAATATAGCTTGATATCTGGTATTGAGATCCCACCTACAGTGGGGCCTTGACTTACGAGTTTAATTCATTCCGTGACGGAGCTCATAACTCAGATTACTCGTATGTCAATTCAAAAAGTGAACGAGTGAGACAGGTGATGCTGGGCTGATGTGGCATTCACTGTGACGTTCGCTGCGCCAACTAGCGGTGGGGTATCTGAAGCTGGCTCGTAACCCGAATTTTAGCTCGCAACTCAAAGCAAAAAATCAGCCGAGAGACGGCTAGTATCTTGAAATCTTGTTAGTCGGGACACTCGTAAGTCAAGGCCCCACTGTACTTTGTTCTTCATTCTCAGGATTGCTGCAGCTATTCGGGGGTTTTTTTTTTTTATTCCGGATGAATTTTTGGAAAGTTTGTTCTAGGTCTGTGAAATATGCCGTTGGTATTTAATGGGGAGTGCATTGAATCTATAGATTGCTTTGAGTAGTATGGACATCTTGATGATGTTGATTCTACCAATCCATGAACATGGTATGTTCTATAATTAATATATTTTAAATCAGATGATAACATTTTAAATATATAGTTGATTAGATGTGATTAAAATTTATTTCACCTTTTACTTTTTACTTTTTTAAGGTGGCTACTTGAAAATTTAATGTCACAATAGAGCTCTAGATTACATTTATATTGAACACATACTCTTTACAAAGCCTGTTTAATTAACATGTTTTATAATGTATTTTAATTTTATCCCCATCTGTCCTTTTTTGTAGGAAAAACTTTTTAAACTCTGGAGGATTTATTTTCTCTCAGAAGCCTCTATTGCTGTTTTGCATGATTCCTTTTGGTGGTGGTTTCTCCATAAATTTAAGGTATAATGATATTTTTTAAATTTCTTTTTTAGGTTGATTTGCAGCATATTTCTTTTTTCAGTAGAGGTCGCATTGGTACAAAAAAATTTTTTCTGGATCCTTTCACAGAGCTTGGTTTTTTAGTATTCCACACATGTAAGAAATCCTGTTTGAAATAAAGAGTTCTTTCACAGAATTAAGACTTTAATATGGATTTCAAAGAACCTGGGTCTTCATTTAATCAGAAAAAGATTAATGAAATCAGATAATAAAGTTGTAGCTTTATTTAATATTATCATTTGCTTATAAACAATAAATAAGAACCCCACTGCAAGTCAGTGACATTGAAGGAGGTCTTCATTTGGGAACCAGTCTGCAGATTAGATGGAGAGCGGGTCCTCTGTTGTTTTAGAAAGGTTGACTCTGATTAGGGTTAAAGAGAGAAAGAGGTGGGTATCTGGGAAACAATAAGAGAATGGATGTAAACAGCTCATAAATCTTACTTTAGAAAATATATGAACCTAGAAAAGGTGGTGAATATAAATGACTGCTGTGTAGCCTCTGGATCTGGAAGAATGGAAGATAGAGCAACCCAGGGCATCGCAGTCTAAGCATTAAGAAGGTGTGCCACCCCATCAAGGACACCTACCTTTCCCCAGCTCAAGTTACCCCCAGAAAACTGTCGATGGATCCTCACAGAAATTTCATACCATGAATAAATGGGTGTTACCAATTTTATATATAAAGTATTCGAGTAGTGCTTTAATGTAATTCTAGGTAAGAGTATTTCTGATATTGTTAGGAGCTGAATGAGGCACAGGAAGTGACATATCAATTCTACAAAGGTCATTACCTAGGGAAATTTGTAGAATCAGGAGAATTTCATTATCTTAACTTTCTCTTCTAGATCTGGATCCTGAATTTATGTTTTCCCATGATAACAGAGAGAAACCTTACTTTCCCACTAAATCTGTTAAGATTATATATAACAAGTTTTTGAAGAAACTGTCTAGCATAATACTGATTTTATAACTCGAGTAAAATAAAACTGAGTCACATATAATTTAATTACCAACATAATAAGGAAAAAATCATACTTTAGAATATAGCATGCTTTAGCATGCTGACTCTAAACTTGTGTCAGTTATTGTTATATGATTAATATAAGAGCAAATTTTGTTTCTTTATTGCCTGTAATTTAATGGTAGGCTGCTAATAGAAAAAAAATGATGTTCTTGAACCCAGAAAACTAAAATTGGAGTCTATTTTTCCCATTAGTTAGTGTGAGACTTTGGGCTATTTGAGAAAACCTCTCTGAGTTTCTCTAAAGGCAAAACAAAAAACAGGTAGAAAATAACATAAAACCTGTTTTTTTCTAGGATGGTTGTGTGTTCTAAAAGTGGCATGAGTAAAAAGACACATAATAAACTGTGAAATGCCATAGAAATGTAATAAGGGATGCAATGTAATAGAGTTAAGAGATCTGGCTTTCAAAAACAAGTTTATGAACTTAGTAAATAATGTGACCTTGAATAGTTATTGACCTCTTTAAGTCATTCATAAAGTTTAAAAAATTACCTACTTTATGTGTTTACTGGGAGTGTTATGAGAAAATGCACGTAAAGTTTTGTTTTCATGGAACTAGGTATAGAGTGAGTGTTAAATGGATACATCTATTGTTGTTGTTATTATTATTATTATTATTATATTGATAGAGAGAAAACAGTGTCCTTCCAAAAAATTGAAAAGGGGGAACACTTCCTAACTCATTCTATGAAGCCAGCATTAACCTGATACCAAAGTCAACAGTACTATAAGAAACAAAAAAAATCCTTTCATGAATATTGATGTAAAAATCCTCAACAAAATACTAGCAAATCAAATTCAGCAGCACATTAAGAATATTTCTCTATGACCAGTGGGATTTATTCTTGGAATGCAATATAATATAAGATGTTAAATAGCTTGATCTAATGGATATATCAGTAACCTGAATATCCCAAACAGCTACAGGATATATTTTCTTTCCAAGCATACCATAACATTTACCAAAAAAATGGTCATACCATTTTCCTACTCTGTCTCCTGTGGAGGTATATATGGTATGGACACATATTACTCAAAGACATATTCTGAAAGTTTCTGCTTCGGTAAATTTCTTCATACATGTTAAGTGTAGATTGTGTATTTGAAACATGATAACTTTTTTGACTAATTACATATATATGTATACATATACACACACATATATATATGTGATCAAGAACTGCTATTAACATTATCATTATTATTTTTGCTATAATCTCCTTCCATAAATTTATTACACAAGTATGAGAGCTGTATTGGGAGTTAGGAGACCTAGATTCTAGTCTGGCTCTCAGTTACTTAACTGTATAACCTTAAATAATTCTCTTAATCTTTCTGAGTACCAGTGCAATAACTAAAATAGAAGAACTTAATGTAGGTGATATGCAACTTCCATTTTAGGTCTAAGATCCTGTACATTTGTAACTCCCAGCTCATATGGCTTGCTAATTTCATAAAAGACTACCACTAACATTGAAAATTTTTGGTATTTATTACCATAATGTATTAATGCCAGGGTGCTTCTACAATTGACATCATAAATTAATTTGGACCCTTTAATTCATCTTTATTGCTTAATTGATAGATTGGGACTCTAATTCATCTCTTCATTTCTTAATAAAGCAAGAATCTAGAGTGCTACATTAGGACTTTAGTATAATATTGCCATTATTACCTATATATTTCTTCCTTCTTGCAACATCCTTATTTTGTTTTTAGTTTAGCTCTCATGTCACAATTTTACTAGTTCTAGTTATGACTGTTTCATCCCAATAATTGCTTTACTTTCATGCTGAGTTACTGGTAATGAAAGAATTGGAATGGTTATAGAACAATAGTAGGTAGCTAAGTCATTGGTTGCGTTCTATATGCCAACTACTATAAGAACCTTCATTAATTCATCAAGCATTTTTGTGTTTTCTATGTGCCTGGCACTGTGCTTGAAATACATCATATAAAACATGATCCTGTCCTTACTTAATTTTAAGATATTACTTTAAGATATGTATATATTATCAACATTTGGCAGATGAGGAAACTAGGACTTAATTAACTTGCCCAGGGTAATGCAGCTAATGAAATAACAGCCAGGATTCAAATTCAGGTCTGCATGATGCCAAAACCCATGTTTATTCCACTGCAGCAACTGATCTGCTCTTTAAGAATAGATAAAATTACTGACATTAGGCAAACAAATTCTAGTTTTAAATTGTAATATTAATGATTTTAATTCCATACATCTTTTGTTTTTTAAGCCTGACAAAGAAAATCAAGATTTCTTGTTTGATAGGATTTCAGAAAGTTATGTGACACTTTTCATAAGCATACCTCGAAGTAAAAAGGATGCATTCTTTCAGGTAAAACACAGAAATTAACTGGTTATGCTAATTATTTTTGGAGCTAATGAAGTAGAAAAATAGTTATTTTACTTAAACACATATGAGAACATATTTTGTTACTGTGAAAGCAAAATTTCCTGAAATAAAGTAAGTTATGATACTGTTTTAATCCTTACCTGAGGACATGATTTTATTATTATTATTATTATTATTATTATTGATTTGAGAGAAAGGGAGGGAGAGAGAAAGAGAAAGAGAGAAACATAGATCAATTGTCTCTCGTACTACAATTTGGTTATGTACCCTGATATGTCCCTCACTCCAGAATATTGTATTCCCTTGACTAAAGTTCTTACAGAATCTCCTTAGTGTGATATAGGTCTTTTGTTTGAAGATTAATAATTTGAAAACTATTGACTTATCCTATGTATATTCTTGGTTTTTATATTTATCTAAAAATTGCTTATCAATTTTGTTTTTCTTTACAATATATGTTTTGATCTAAGAGGACTTGAAAAGTTTATGTTATGCCTAAGGACTAAGTCCCTGTTAAGTAAAGAACATGGACAAATTTATGAATCAAATGCTTGTTTTTACTTTGTTCTAATATTAACTAATGAGTAGGGTTGATTGAAATAATTTATATTCTTGAGTAATGTTAAATGAAGATGGTAGGAATTTCATTGGGTATTTTTACATTTAAACATCTAGTGTTTCAAAGCAGAAGTCACATTTAAATACTTTATTGTGTTGACATCTGTAAATCAGGAATACATAGGTATTTTGGAGTCAGTAAATGTTTCTTTTCCATGGGTAAAACAAGCCTAAAATAAAAATAGTTAAATGTCCTTCATAAACAAACCTAATTTGTGAAATATTTATATTCGATCTTTACTTATCTTATAAACATACTAGAGGCCCAGTGCATTTGTGCACTTGCGGGGGGTCCCTCAGCTTGGCCTGTGCCCTTTCACAGTCTAGGACCCCTTGGGGGATGACCACCTGCTGGCTTAGACCCACACCCCAGAGGATTGGGCCTAAGCTGGCAGTAAGACATCCCTCTAGCAGCCCGGGAGTCCTCGGGGGATGTCCACTTGCCAGCGGGGAGCAGGCCTAAGCTGCAGTCGGACATCCTTAGCGCTGCTGAGGAGGCAGGAGAGGCTCCCACCACCACCACTGTGCTGGCAGCTGGCAGCCTGGCTTGTGGCTGAGCAGAGCTCCCCCTGTGGGGGCGCACTATGACACACACTGACCACCAGGGGGCAGACGCTCAATGCAGGGGCTGCCCCCTGGTGGTCAGTGTGTGTCATAGTGACCAGTCATTCCCAGTCTTTCTGCTGTTAGGGTCAATTTGCATATTACCCTTTTATTATATAGGTGCATGGGTGGGGGCTGGCTGGTTTGCCCTGAAGGGTGTCCCAGATCAGGGTGGGGGTCCTGCTGGGGTACCTGGCCAGCCTAGGTGAGTGGCTGATGGCTGTTTTCAGGCTGGTCACAGCCCCTTCAGGGTGTGGGAACCCGCTGGGGTGCCTGGCCAGCCTGGGTGAGGGGCTAATAGCTGTTTGCAGGCTGGCCACAGCCCCTGCAGGGTAGGGGTCCTTCCTAGGGTGCCTGGTTAGCCTGGGTGAGGGGCTGAGGGCTGTTTGCAGGCTGGCCACAGCCCCTCCAGTGTAGGAGTCCCCACTGGGGTGTCTGGCCAGCCTGGGTGAGTGGCTGATGGCTGTTTGCAGGCTGGCCAAGGCCCCTTCAGGGTGGGGGTCCCGGCTGGGGTGCCTTGCCAGCCTGGGTGAGAGGATGATGGCTGTTTGCAGGCTGGCCACAGCCCCTTCAGGGTGAGGTCCCCGCTGGGGTGCCTGGCCAGCCTGGGTGAGGGGCTGATGGCTGTTTGTAGGCTGGCCACAGCCCCTTCAGGGTGGGGGTCCCTGCTGGGGTTCCTGGCCAGCCTGGGTGAGGGGCTGAGGGCCATTTTCAGGCTGGCTAAGCCCCCCAGCAGGGACCCTCAGCCCATGAGGGTGTGGCCATCCTGGGTGAGGGGCTGATGGCTGTTTTCTGGCTGGCCACGGCCCCCAGCCACCCAAGCTCCCAGTGGAGGCTGGCTGGAAGCAGGTATCTAGGATTTATTTATCTTCTATAATTGAAACTTTGTTGCCTTGAGCGGAGCACACAGCGCTGGCGGGAAGCTTGGCTTCCTCCATTGCCGGGGCAACCAAGCCTCCTGCTTGCTCCAGCTCCGTGGCTGCTGGCCGCCATCTTGGTTGGGTTAATTTGCATATAGTCACTCTGATTGACTGGTGGGCATGGCTTTGGGCGTAGCGAAGGTACGGTCAATTAGAATCTTTATCTTTTATTAGTGTAGATACCTACTGTGTCACAAAAGGAAACCAGTAGTGGACTTGGAATGAGATTTGGCTTCATGTCTGGAATCTGCTACTAATTTTCTGAGGGATCTTGTTAAGACATTCAGTCTCAGTTCTACAGCTGGTTGTCTATCAGAAAAAGATGATCATATTTCTGATTCATAAATTATTGTTTTGTAGAACAATGATGTTCTCAAAGATAGACTGAAATTTTGTCTGCTAATACTGAATTGTTTTTAATGCATTTTATTGATTTTTTACAGAGAGGAAAGGAGAGGGATAGAGAGATAGAAACATCGATGAGAGAGAAACATTGATCAGCTGCCTTCTGCACACTCCCTACTGGGTATGTGCCTGCAACCAAGGTACATGCCCTTGACCAGAATCGAACCTGGGACCCTTGAGTCTGCAGGCCGACGCTCTATCCACTAAGCCAAACCAGTTAGGGCTAATATTGAATTTTTTTTCTTATTTGCAAGAAATAATTAATAGCTAGGATTTGAGCTAATTAAATCATCTAAAGGTGACAAAAACAACTGTTTCTCTCTCCATCATCTTTCTTTGCTTGGGAACCAGGCCACCTCCCTACAGGTTTATCCCCTTCAGAGCAATTTAAATGGAAGTGGAACCTTATCTCTCATTGAGCAATTTCCATTATTTTAACTCATTCAGATAAGTGGGGGTTTTGTTACTATTAGCTCATCTGACTTATCATACCTAAGGAAGATAAATTTATTAATTTTAAAGAATAAAAACTTATCTTCAGATCTTATTATTCATACACTAGAGGCCCAGTGCACGAATTCGTGCACAGATGGGGTTTGGCTGGTTTGCCCCGATCGGGGCCAATCAGGCTGTCCAACCTGGGGGAGGGGCTGCAGGCAGTTGGCCAGCTGACCCACCCCCTGGTCAAACTCCTGGTTGAATTCCTGGTCGAGGGGACAATTTGCATATTAGCCTTTTATTATATAGGATATTAACTGAATCTAAACATATTTACTGTGGCTTTTACTTCCCTCTCTTCCCATATTGTACAAAGATATTCCTTTAGAAATTTTTCCCAACACAATTTGATACTTGATCTCTTTTTCCCTTAATATCCTGAAGGTGAGGTGCTCACAGAAAACTTTTAGAGATTTCCCTTTTTCACCATGTGCAACATTTAATTTTAATCATTAGTTTTATCCTCTTCAGAGCTATTTAAGTGGAAGTGGTTTTATGTACCACAAATAAAATATGTGATTCTTTCTGGTAGTAAAATGTTCATGGTTCATTCAATAAAGTTAAAAATATCAATATATTAGAGCATTCTCTCTCATCCCTGCCCCCCTCCCAAAATAATCATTGAGTTCTTCAAATAAAACCATCACTTACAAGCAAATGTGAACAATAATGGATTCGGTGACTCTATTACTTTCCTACTGTTGCTAAAACACATTGTCACAAACTTAGTGGCTTATAAGAGCAGAAATTAATTGTCTAACAATTGGGCCAGAAGTCCAAAACATGTCTTTTTTAAAAATTTGTCTTGCCCTAACCGGTTTGGCTCAGTGGATACAGCGTCAGCCTGCGGACTCAAGGGTCCTGGGTTCGATTCTGGTCAGGGGCATGTACCTTGGCTGTGGGCATATTCCCAGTGGGGGGCGTGCAGGAGGTGGCTGTTCGATGTTTCTCGCTCATCGATGTTTCTAACTCTCTGTCCCTCTCCCTTCCTCTCTGTAAAAAATCAATAAAATATATATATAAAAAAATTTGTCTTTATTGTTGACAGTATTATAGATGTTCCTTTTTTTCCCCATTGATCCCCTCCATCTTGCACCTATTCCTCCCAGGCCTTAACCACACTATTATCTATGTCTATGGGGTATGCATATCCTATGTAATAAGAGAGAAACATGCAAATTAACCATCCCTTCACTACGCTCAAGCCATGCCCACAAGCCACGCCCACCAGCCATGCCCCCCAGCCAATCTGAGTGACTATGAAAATTATCTGACAAAGATGGCGGTTAATTTGCATACACAGGTGTCAAGCACGCCAGAAGATGACGGCGGCCATGGCTGTGGGCGGCCGGAACTTTCGCTGGTCGGGGAGGTGCGGCCGCCAGTGCCTAGTCACGCCTATGGACTCCCAGGACTTTGCCAGCAGAGAGCAGGAGGTTTTGAGGACTTGGCAGAGCGGTAGACAGCTGGACATAGAGCAGAGCAAGAGAGAGAGGGTGGCTTGGAGGGCGCAGCTCCCTCTGTCACCCCAGCCTCCTCATCACAGCTGTGGAAAGAGGGAGAAGGAAGTCCCACCCCCACAGAATCAGCCGGAATCAGCCATTGGTCAGACAGCTCTCAGTGGCCTAATAGACAGGACTCTCATTCACCTGCATCTCAGACCACGACAGTAGAGAGGTGGGACTGTGTCTAAAGAACAACTATTGATACAATGTAACTCTGCAGCCGAAAGATGCTGTCATTATTGACAGAAAGTATCTGCAGAGCAGCGTGTGTCAAATCCTGAAAGAAGGTAGTGCCTGCGACAGGATGTATCTGAACACCTGCTACTGGAAAAATGCTGCTCTGATGCCGAAAAACACTGGTGTTATCGATAAAAAATGTCTAAAGACCAGCGTGCCTTTGAAGTTGAAAGAAGGCGACGACAGAATATGTTGA